TTTGTACATTTTTTCGCGCGCGGATGTATGTATTTTGTGGTGTGTGTGTGTGTGTGTGTGTGTGTGTGTGTGTGTGTGTGTGTGTGTGTGTGTGGCTAGCAGCAGCTTACTTGGATTTAAAGTGACAAGACTCATTCGAACTGAGCAGACTAAAATCTCATTATCTAATAATTATTTTGCACATAACAAGTTCATGAACATGTTTTGTATGCCCCTTAGACTCATCTTAATCTGTTCAAGGAAACATAGTAGTTCACCTGACATCTTGTAGCTTCTTAATAACTCTTTCTGAATAATCTCTCTGAGCAAAGTTAAAAATAGAATAATAACAATTTGGAGCCTTTTAATGTATCTTTCCAAGCTAAATTGACAACCTTGACTGGGCACATTGAAAAAGTTATAAAAAGAAAGATTCATAAAGGGATTTAGTTGTGGTATCACTGAAAAAGCAATACCTAATTGATCAAAATTACTCTGCAAAAAAATGTTTTTGTCAAGTTGGATTGTACTCTCCATACTCACCTTTTTGGTAATAGAAGAAGTTACATTTTACCATAAAAATGCTAAACTTACAGTTGTAGTTTTCCAGTCACCACAGTGTCTTATTAGACAAGCATCACCACGTCTTCTGCTGGCATCTGGACTCTTTGTCATCCATCCTAAGTTGACTTTTGGAGTTTCTTTGGACTCTGAATGTTCCTGTGCACCAGAAGTCTCAAACTTTGGTCTTTGGTGTTTCTGTTTCAGCAAATCTGAATAAAATAATAAATTAGCATTCTGCATAGTCAGAAGGTAATTTAACCATTTGATTCAGGAGTTCTGGACCAGAGACAAATCTGACCTGTTCATCTGGAAATAAACAAATTACTAACAAATTTAACAGCAAAGTCAAATTATACGTACAAATGATTAAAGGATAAATATGGTTAAGTGAAAATTTGTCTCACCCTAGTGTTCACTTTGGTTAGAGATGAACTATTCTCAGTTTCAATGTCAGCTATTGAACTGGCCTTCTTTATTTTATATTTAATTCATGTCTAATCTAAAGAGAAATAATTTTTACCAAATACTATTTTACTCTTAAAAGCTTTTTTATTGGACTATTGCTTTATTTATACTTACTCTACCCCTCTCCACAAACTTTGCTCCAAGAAATATGAATAAAAACATGATTATCATCTTACTACACAAACACATCATTCTTAATTTATGGTGTTACTTTAAAGTTGAGAACTTTGGGGCAAACAACCTGCCTTCAACCTCTGCAGTGGCCAAAACTAGACGGATCCAGCAGGCAAACATTTATGTTAGCTTTCTTTTATCCGTTTCTCTGTTTTCAAGGTTGGTGTTCTGTTACTTTTAAATGAAATGCTACAACTCCTCTACTGACAGCTTTTGCTGTAATTGTATTTTATTGTGTATATTATATTTGGATGTACTTTAAGCTGGTTTTATTAGGAGTGCTTGACAAAAAAACACGTGTTCATTTTATTAATCGCTCATTTTTAACTTCATTGTAAATGTAGATGGTGTTGTGAAAGATTTGCAGAATTTGCACTCATGTTGATAAATAAAAAAAATCAGATTTATTTTAGGAAATAACGAACCCAGGTGGCGCGTTTTAGCACTGCTGAAGTCCTAAATGAAAATTCAACAGTGGTCACCGTGGGACACCTAGTGGCAAAACAACGGAACAACACCCAGTTTTGTTGTTTTTAATTGTCTTAAAATGTTTAATGGAGAAAGTAGTTTTCAGGAACATCAGCTGTTCAGACAGATGGTATATTTACACATACAGGTTGCCATTAAGTAAATATTTTACTAATTAATGCTGTGTGCTTTTCAGTGTTTTTGTTATATATGTTGGTTGTTGAGGTTTCTCTGTTCTGCTTTTTCTCTCTCTCTTTCTGCAGGTGTAGAAGGACACTTCTAGTGGATTTTCTTCTTTTCTCCCTCTTTCCCTTTTAACCCTTTGCACTGCTTTTCTTCCTTTCTTTTTAAGGCCTCTTCTTGATGTCAGTCATGAGGTTTAAGGTATTATTTCCTCTCCAGGGAACAAGCTATTCCATCTATAACTTGTCACTCTTTCCAAAGTTGTCATCATCTTCAAACCGTTGTGTACAACTTTGTACATTTTTTTAGCATTAAAAGTTTTAGCCAGTAGGTGGAAATAGTGTTGCTGTAGATTTTCTGAAACAAAACCAGACAGACATTTTGTTGAATCAAGAACTAAACTCCTTCAAACTCATGGACAGAAACATGCAGTCAAAAAGTATTTGCCATTTGTTATTTTTGCCTTTTCATTAAAGCTGTTTTCAAATTATTTCATTTAAAAAGGAAACAAAGCTTTCCAAACTTTGATGGAGTAGAGCCATGCTAAGAAAATAAAGTCATAATATTATAACTTTATACCCATCCAACGATGTTAAAAGTAATTGCGCACTTTTTAAAACCAGGTATCAACTGTGATTAATCACCTTATGGTTTGATTCCACCCTTAACCCTGATTACAGTCTGACCTGTATAAATGACATTATTTATAAACTGTCTGACAACACAAACTAGGACAAAGTATCTCAAAACATAGTGACCTTATCTAAATAAGAAGCAAACACTGCAAAAACACAAAGTCTTACCAAGTATTTTTGTATAGTTTCTAGTGCAAATATCTTTGCACGCTTTAAATAAGACAAAACTAACTTGTAAGTAACTTTTCAGCAACTTTTTAAATTTTTCAGGAAGAAAAACTTGTTTTAAGTAAATAATTCCATAATATTGATGAAAAAGTTCTAGTTTCATTGGCAGATTTTTTTCACTTTTTCATACCGTGTGTTTTGGATGGATTATTTCCCCATAATAAGTTAAATTATCAATTGAAAATAGGGTTTTAGGTAATCAGTTTTCTGATTACCAAAAACTGCAATCAGTAATTGGACCTGCAAAACGGATTTTGGCTGATACTAATTTTTTTTTTGTCTGAAATGTTGCTCAATATAGTAAGAAAGTTGCTGAATTGGCAACAGTGCAGCAGCTATTGTTAACTGTAAACATGCAGACTTGACCTGTTGGGCCGGTCTGTCAGTCAAACCTTTTTCACGGGAGAGCAGATGACAGCAGTTGAATTTTAGACCTTTGCTGAGGTAGATAAGATCGGTGGATAAGTTCGGTTTCACATGTAAAAATCAGCCAATTGCAAATCTCCCAAAATTTAAGAAATCGACACCCATACATCGTCTGGCTGATAAATCGGTGCACCCCTAATTGTAGCTGCTAAGATTATTTTTGTCGTTGAAACATTTACGTGAAACCCAAAAAAGCAAAAACAGAAGGAAATTGTGTGGGAACAAATAATTGTTTATTTCCCTTAAAGCAATCATAAATATTTAAGCCACCTCTGTTATGGGCAGAAATAATTTCCTCGAAGCAAGTGAAAGAGTGATTTAACTTGGCCATGCTGAGTTTGTCATTATATCCATCTGCGATAAAGATTTGTCCATAAAAATCACAGTTTGTGTTTATGGTTCTAACTTTTTCTCATTTGAAACAACATTGATGAATGCAGAATCCTTTGTTTGGTGCTGTAATGTTTCTCAGTAAAAGCTGCCCTGGACGTTTTCAGACGTTTCTCTGCTGTCATCCAGCTGATGATCAAGTTCTGCAGGATCCAGATACAGTTTAAATCAGTTGTTCTGAAACAGGGAAGAAACCAAAACATGCAGAACAGGTTTTAAGTGAGAAGTTTTTTCAAACTTCCCTCAAGCCTGAAATATTACAAGCCTTTGTGAACTTTTGCCAACACAGTACAGAACATCTGTTCCTTGAGAGGAGTGCCGCTTCCTTGAACAGATTAGGATAGAATTTTCCACGAAATCATCCTCAAATGGGTGTGCTGTGGTGGCGCAGGAGTTAAACACAGTCCACATATGGAGGCCTCAGTCCTTGACATGGCTGTCACAGGTTCAATTCCAGGCCTGGTGACTTTTGTCGCATGTCTTCCCCTTCTCTCATTACCCACTTTCCTATCAACTAACCATCAAATAAAGGCCACTAGAGCCACAAAAAAAAAAAAATTCTTAAATAATGAGATTTTAGTTTGGTCACTTTTGCCTATTTTGAGCTTGTTTCAGGATGAGTTGTAGGACTCTGACACTTTAAATCCAAATAACATGCTGCTGGCCACGCCTCCCAAACTTCAACATTCGCACACAAGTGACAGTGGCTGTAAACAGATACGCAATTACAAAACTGTACAGTACAAACAGTACAACAGTACATTGCTGCACAACCGACAAGAATGCAGCAAGTGCTTTCTGAATAAGTAAACAACAAAGCACTTGTCTTTTCCAGCAGCCATTGTACAGTACATAATGTGGTAAAACAAGCTGAACAAAGTGTTGGAGCTCTGCATGATTTTCTAGGTAAAGGGGCTAAATGGCTTGTTTTCCAGACATCAATAAATATTAATTTATTGCCAATAACAGCTGAAAGGGTATTTTTAAGAGGGAGTAGAAACCCAAATGGAAGTATAAAAACATGCAAAATGTGAATTTTTGCATAATAGATCCCATGTAAGTTAGCATCACCAGATATCCTGTAACTGGTGGTACTTGCTAGAGGAGATGCAGAAATCCACAGATCAATGAGATGATCAACATGTGACCAGAACAAACTTGAACATCTCTGTTCACAGATTTGATTAAAAAAAAAAACACTTCATCAACAAAATGCAATAAGGCTCAAGAGGTAGGGATTTTTTTTTTGTAGGGTACTGTGTATTTTTGATGAAGTGTTGTAAGAATATAGACATTTTCAGGGGCTGCAGTGGTGCAGTTAGTAGGCACCCTGTAGCAAAAAGTCCTGGGTTTAAAACTGTACATGTGTGTTCACTCCCACAGTCCATAAACATAACTGCTATTTCTCCATAAATTGTTCTTGTGCATGATTGTTGTTGCGTTTAATATTTTAACTTCCTGTAACATTTACTTTTGACCACCAGAGGTCCGCCTTTCACAGGAAAAGCTTTGAGACAGCGGCAAGCAGTATCTGTTTGAATCAATTACATCATTCCTAAACTGTAATCCTAAGCAAAGTGAGATCCGAAATTTGTTTAGCCGAATTTATTATTTATTGTTGCTCTGGTTGCATATCAATGGAAGCATTGGTTTAGCATTAAAGGTTATCTACTTGGCGTCATCTTCTCTCTTTCTGAAAAGAGAAGAAACTTGGTGCGTATCAGATAAACTTAGAAAAACAGTTTCTTATTTCGATTAATCGATCTGAGGAATAGCGTCACTGTTTACTCTGCTGCTCCTGTCCTGGAGTGCACAATGTTTTCTCTCCACCCAGTTACTCCAAGCTGCCCCAGTTGTCTCTCCGCCCAGTCGGCGGGGCTGTGCGGGGAGATAAGAGTTCAGGGTGTGCCTGTCTGCTCATGAAGTCCGCCTCTCTCCGTCTGCGCGGCGCAGTTTCTCTTTTGAAAGATGACTAGGCGCTGCGCAGAAGCGAAGCCGCGCTTCGCCTAACTTCCACTCAGTGTGACATTTGTAATTCCTGTGGGCGTTGCTGTTGCCGCTGCACTGGCACAGGGTATTGTTGCTCAACTTTGAGAAGTAAAGTGGGTGGATTTCTTTTCTCGAGCTGAGACGGAATGTGCAGATTCCGCGGCTGTTTCTCGCCTGTATTCCCAGCGGAACATCGTCGTGACTCCGGTCAATCTACAGCGGCTATCAGCGTCATCAGCGACAAGCATGCAGCATGACGTGGAGTTGCACTTGTGCCTCTAACAGGCTGTTTACCTGCGTGGAGACGGGGCAAGGTTCCACGTCGTGTCCGTGCAGGAGCTTCATGAGCTGCGGCCGTGCGTAACGCTGGCTCTCCATGGAGGACCGCTGGACCGGCAATCAACACGTTAAGTGACACTTGAAAGATGATGAACCAAGACCAAGAAGGGATTTCCTTCCCGGTGCCGTCCTTCGGTGCTGGTCCCGACAGGGAGGCTGTCAGCGGGGAACATTCCAGCAGCAACAGCGGCGGAGGTGGAGGAGGCATTCCAGCAGCCGGGACTTTCTGGCAGGATCCGCTGGTTGGAGGCAGCGGACACAGCCCGACCTCCGGGGACAGTCAGGTGGAAACCGGAGGCTTGCTGTCCGCCGGCAAGTCGTGCAAAAGCAGGCCGGTGACGGTGGCTTATGTGGTGAACGGCGAGGCGAGCCAGCAGAATAACGCGGAAAGCATGGCTCTCCAGTGTCTGAAGGACGCCTGCGACAGGGTGGGCAGCAAGCTGGACACGGTGAACTTCAGTAAACTGGACTTTGGGGAGACCACGGTTCTGGACCGCTTTTACAACGCAGGTGAGTCAAATGAAACCCAATGATTCTGCAGCCTGTCCCTTTAAAACTCTCCTAACTTCCTCCAACAAGTATCAGATACACTCCCAAAACAAACTGTTAAAGTTTAACTGGCATTAGTGATTATAAAGATAAAATCATGATGATAGAACAAGTTGCATACATTCTATGGGTGGAAATTATGTAAGTGTAGCAAAAACATACAAACAAATCAAAATATGAGTTCTTGGAATATAAGTTCTTATAACCATGAACTATATTTAATCTCTTTGAGTCCTATTTGCCTGAAAATGAGTAATTATTTTAAATCAACCAGTTGCTAACAAGTCCCGAAAAACAAAATGACATTCTGTGTATGTTTACGTTATGGAATTGCAACCTGCACCATAACATTTGAGTTGATGGAGCAGTCAGTGCTGTAATCGGTACCAATTAGACAATTGATGGTAACATGCCTACTAAAACATAGTGAAATAAGTTGGTTAAATTCAAACCAATTGGATTTATGCTGCTTTGACTCGTTCTTCCACGTTAAAACAGAACAGAATTTATAATCATGTTGTAATAAAGCTTTAAATGTCACTGAAATAAACTTTTAAATTGTTTTCTACTGAGGAGGCAGCGGAACTTTTTCCCAAATAACTACTGCTGTGATGTTCAATGTAACTTAGCATGCAAGCTAGCTTAATTTTTAGCATTAGCGCAGTTGCTAAACTAAAGCTGGTTGGATACTCAAAATCTTACTCCAACTCAACTGTTTCAACCTCAAGTGTTGAAAACTACATGGAAAAACTAACAATGATGATTCAGATTTAAATAATTTTAACCGCTAGTATTCAGAATCCATTTTTACAGTGTATTCATTCCAAATTTGTGTAAAACCTTTTAGATCAATCCTCTAAAATGATTTTTGTCATATATATCTCTGCCCTCCATTACTGTGATTAAATTCCAGTATCTGTGGATCCATAAGGAGATTTAATCCCCTCTGAAGAGTGATTACACCACAAGGGAAAGGAGGAATTTCTGGTTTTGAGCTAAACTTTTCTAATCATTCAAAAGAACAGTGCATCACTGCTGTTCTTAGAAATTGTTTTTGTGTAAGGAGGCATTACTGTGCTCTCCTGGAACCCAGCAGATCGCTGCATGTCTGGGCTTGATGCTGCAACATGCTGAACTGAGTGAAACTCAAAACATCGATTTGGGTTTTTAGATTTTGCACCGCAAGTATCAGGGTTACATTTCCTCTTTCCCTCTTTTAAGCCATGATGTTGCTTTGCTCTGCCGTTACTGCTGTCTGTGCAGCGGTTGGTCTTCTGTACTGATGTAGCGTTACAAACCTCTTAGCAAGAAGATATTGAAGCCGGTATCTTGTTTGAACTGAAAAACGCTTGTGGACAGCATTGACAGGAACACAGCAACCACTGTTTGCATTTTTCACATTCCTGTGTCAGGATGCCTTCTGCAGACACAACAAAGATTAAAAAACGAAGAATGTCTGATTGTGGCAGCTTCTTCAACCCACTCAACAAAACAAACAGAAATACAGAGGAGCAGCCTTGTGTGAATCAAAAAATATGCATTCCTTTTCTCTTTGTTAGAGTAGCAAAAAATGCAAGCAAAATCTTCTGATTGGTTTTTACCTGAATGGTATTTTATTGCATTTCTGGAAGTTATAACTTAACATTATCTTACCATAACACAGTTGTTGTTTATATCTTGTATGTAACAAAAAAAAAAAAAAGACATAGCAGTAGTGTGATGTATACAGTCGAAGGCAGGGTAACGGAGAGTTCAACTAGGTTATTTCTAAGAAATGTTGGGACATAAGCTGGAAATGTTACTGTTTCAGCCAGCAGTTTGAAGACTTTATCTGAAAACTGCGAGAAGATTAAGTGGAAGAAAATAATCTGCAGGTAATAAAAACAATAAGTTGGAACCGGAAGTTTGGCTTTTATGAGAGATAAACGAAGGACTGTTTCTCAGAGAATCATCAGTGTGAAATTTAAAGAAAATAAACAGCAGGTCTGATTACAAATTCATTCACTGCTCTACAAATTGTTTAATTTACTGCGCAAAGCACCAAAACATTTCAGGGGATCATTATTGATCCGATGTCATTGTGTGATATACTGAAAGGTTTTATGTTTTGAATGTGGTTTACATTCTGTTTGATTTATATCTGTCTAAATTTGACATTCGTAGGCCTGTCAATATAACACATTATTCTGGATGGTAAGATTTCCCAGAAGTTATTGCAATAAATTATAATATTGTTGTTTTGAGACCATTAACAACTAATATGATGGTAATAATGATATAATAATGCAAGACCACATTCTCAAGGAGCAATAAACTTTGAATTCCAGTTAATTTAACATTGGAATTAGAAATGAATGTAAAAAATAAACAAAACAACAAATAAAATGAATTATGAAGTCTCTGCAAACAAAATTGTTCTTCAAAAAGAGGCTAGTTGAGACCAAAGCACCAGACTGCAGACTTTTGTCATCCAGTTGTTAGAAAGAGAGAAGAGAAAAATAATAATTTGTGCAAATGGATATTGAGTTTTTCATTGATCATGCGATTAATTGATTAATCGATTTATTACTCATTACGACAGGCCTTCGGTTATCACTGTTGCCTCTGAACAAGATGTCTGTGACTTTTAAAGCCTTTTCTCTGTACTGTTTTTGCGTTTTTCTCTCTGGGTACTCCATCCTGCTCCCACCATCCAAAAACACGTCAGGCTAGCTACCTGGCTGGTTCTTCTGTGTCTCTGTGTTACCCTGTGACGGACAGCTCACAAAATGCACAATTTTCTTCTAAGAGAGTTCAGTGAAATGAGAGGTTTTGCTTCTGATTCATGTAACTGGCTTGTTGTTTGCCACAACATAAGTTCCCTCTCTCATGTTTTGTCTCCATTCTGGGAACTACAGTGGGACATTCTCGCAACAGAAAACAATGAGGGCAGTGCTGTTTTCCCAGAAAAATACTGCTGTGCTCAAACACACTTCATCCCCTTTCTGCTGGTACAAGAGAGTGCAGAGAAAAACAAAGAAACAAAAGAAGTTTAGAGGCAGAGCTCAGCAGATTGAACCAGAATGATTATGTGTAGTGTGTTTGTGAATGGCCTCCTACATGATGCCATCCAACAAAGAGTTAATTTGGCAGAAAGATGCCAGATTCTTGTTGCAGAAGGTCCAGACTTCAAAAACAGGAGAAAAAAACAGAGTAGAAGTAGAAAATATTAAAATCTGACTAACTCTTGTCAAATCATCTACAACCCAACAGACAGTCAGTACAGTCAGCATTCAGTTTGCTTTAAATGTAATAGTTGTATTACAGTAGGGCTGCAACTAATGATTTTTAATTATCGATTATTCTGACGACTAATCAGACAAAAATTACCACATTTTGCATATTTTTCATTAAAAAAACCTCAAGCCTGACTTATAAAAGCTAAATTATGCTAATGCTGCAACTAATGATTATTTTAATTATTGAGTAATCTATTGAATATTCTGGCGATTGGACAAAAATTGCCACATTTTGCATATTTTTAACAACTTGAGCCCTTTTAATGATAGAAATACATTAAAAGGTGCAAATAAACAACATAGTTTCTTTTTAGATAAGAAAATAAACATTTTGTTGATTAAGTTTTGGATTAAATCTGAAAGATTGTTGTTCTTTCAGCATATTAGCTTTTTTTGAGTTTGTACTCCAGTTAACGATTAATCGATTACTAAATTAGTTGACGGTTATTTCGATAATCGATTAATCGTGATTAATCGTGATTAATCCGATTAATTGTTTCTGTCTTATTCCATATCCAGTCTAATCTCTAGTTTTCCTGAAACCACTGTTGTCCCTGTTGTTAGTATTGTTTCCTTTATTTGCAGTTCTAAGGTGTGGTTGAGTTGGGAGAACCCACAGTACCTTTATTTGTATTTACTGACCTTTGAAAGTGCAGGTATTAATTTGCATGTTTGCTGGTGTGTGTGCCGTGAAGATGATGGCGTTAGTTCGGTATGCTTGTCTGCTTTTCCTTCATTTGGGTCTCCTTGGGTTCTCGCTGTGTTTTTAATTAATCCCCCTGACGGATGATCCTGTGAAAGTGAAAAGCTGCTGAGGTGGCAGCGCTGCAGGAACTAGAAAGCAAAATGGTCAGAATATTAGAAAATATATTTCTTCAAAGTGTAATTACTATCAGTCTCATTGCTATCTGAAATGAGTTTAATCAGAACTTGAAAACAACATAAAAATTAACATTGAGGCCAAAGATGTAAGAAAACAACGTCTTTAGAAATCAGAAGTATGTTGTTTCACTTCATCTCTTTTTCTTTTCTTAAGCTAATCAGCTGATTTTAGTTATTTTCCCAAAGACGGGATAAACACACCCGCATTACATCACCTACTTTTTCAGGAATGCTTCGGGTTATCACTCTTATTGGTCATTGTAGGACAGGCTGGATAATGATTACATTAATCATATACAGGAATTACAGGAACTCGAAGAGATTTCACAATTGTTACTGCAGACACTATATAACAATTAATTGATTTACTAAGTTAGTTGATGATTATTTCGATAACCGATTAATCGTGATTAATCGTTTCAGCCCTGCTTCCTGAGCTTGCTTTAGCATATTCAGGTCTCAATGTAGTATTCTTCATTTGTTATAAACATTCCTTCTTTTTTAAAGAGTCCTAAGGAAAAAAGAAAAAATGCATTAAAACTCTCTCTGGACTTATCAGGAGGTGGGCTGTCAGCTTCTTTAGAAAAAAACAGTGGAGAGTGAACAAGAACTGACTCACATCAAGTTTAGTATCTCGTTAAGGCTCCCCCGTGTTTTGAATACCTCTAAGATCTGTAAGATTTCTCTTTTTGCATGATGTGTTTGTGATTTGTTTTGGAGACCACGGTGAGGTGCATCTGCAGAGTGCTGTTTGCTTTTCACAGCCTCAACAACTCTCACTGCATTGTCATTTTCTAGGCT